ACAGATAGACTTGTCTTCATTAGATTAAAAGGCACTGATGAAGACAGGTAGAAAGTTCATTTGACAACAATGACCAGTTTGTAAACTGGCATACCTAGCGTCTTTTCCAGGAACCAGATTACAGTGACCCTTTATGCATCTTTGCAAAATATATTGCCTTTATGTTACCATAGTTCACCTTGAAATATGCTTCAAATTCCCATAATGGTTTTATAAGTACCCTATGTGTCTTTGTGACAAGTAAGTTTAGTGTAAAGTTCTGAAATGTAAAAAAAAAGAAATTATTCACCTATGGATCTCTGGTCTTACATAGGGTCAGTCACTTTCGAAGGCATTGGTTAAGTCATATCCAAGCACGTTTCTGTTCATGTATTCATCAAACGTGTTGGGTGTTCTTAAACAGTTGAATAATGTATGTTAAAACTTTCCAAAAATTACACACAAAATGAAGTAAAATCTATTAATCTTTTAGTCCACCTCATATTTCACAATCGAAGTTCATGTTCTGTTCTTTCATTACAGTTTCACTTCAGTTGTGTAAAAGTGGCTTTAAATGCCATTATTTTGTTTGAAGGTCCGGACAAAACCCTTGTGTTGCCGAATGCTGCTGGCTGACTACCCCTCTCTCAAAATTAAGGAAGGCCATATCTGCGACCTATAGATCTTTGGTTTGAACGTTTAGCCGTTCAAGTGAAAATTGATATTTATTGACTATAACTTGGAAACTTAAACGAAGAAAATACTTAGTCAAGAAATATCTTGGAACATTTCAAGGAAAATGTTTAAATATTAGAAATTTTGTCATAATTCAACAAGTAACAATCAAACAAAAATGAGGCTGAATTACAACAGAAGGGGATGTACGTTGTTTTTCCCTCCCTTACTGTTGCTAACTCATCCGTATGAAGGTTGGTTTGTTTGTTTGTAATTAAGCACAAAGCTACATAATGGGCTATCTGTGCTCTGCCCCACTGGTATTGAAACCAGATTTCTAGCGTTATAACTTCAGAGACATACCGCTGTGCCACTGGGGGGGGGGGGCGTTTAAAGGCTAACACTATTTTTACAATGTGGCATTATATGACATTAATGCCTTGCTGTTTCTAGAAAATATGCGTTATGCGGAAGCAAATATTGGTTCTTTAGAATTCGAAAATGCCACATTCCTTTGATCGTAAATAATTGAGCCACTTCAAGTTCTGTACAATCTTAATGTCCACATAACAAAAGAAAAACAACCCGATTCTGACCCCGGTATTCAATAATTCCAAGTAAATTCAGTACAACAACTGGTACGTGTAACGAAATGTGCTATGCGTGCAAAAAAAGAGACATAAAAACGGGTCAAACTTGCTTGGAACAAGAGTTATGTTCTGAACAGAAACCAATGCACCTGTAGTTACAAACATAACTTACATAAAAATGGGTATTATTTTACTTTTCTGTGTTACAGATAATATATAACTACACTGTCGTTGCTATTGTGTAACCTGAGAACTTTTACAAAAAGAAACGCAACATTTATTACCTAAAAATCTATAGCATATCTGAATAATTGATTTAAGGTAAAATTGCTCCAAATTATTTCACCTTTTACACGTAATTCTTTTAGGTATTAAAACACAAAGGTCTAACTATCTTCCTAAACTGAGCAAAGATTAATTGTTACCGTGAGATATGGTTATACGTAAACAGTAGATTGTTTAATCATGCTTATCATAAGCAATTATTAGGAAACCTATTATATTTGTAACAGTACATTTTTTTTTATCTAGTCCATTTCGGATTTTCAAGAATTGGGAGATTGTATAATAACAGTATTTCAACCATGCTATATTTATCATATCCGTCGCCGATGACACGTTTCGCTCAATTCAGAGCTCATCAGGCCAGCTGGGACACAACAAACACAGTAGTGGTCGAAACACTATTTATATAAGCCATTTGTTATAATTTACGGAGTATTTATAGAGCGTAACATTGGTTAATTAAATTATGAATATCCTGTATAATGTCACGTGGCTCAAAAAACAAAATTTATAGAAAATGATATATTTGAGGTAAATATTTTGCTGGAATATCTTATTTTATAATTAGAAAACATTGTAAATCCTGTTTAAAAACACGTTTGTGTTGTATTAATATACTAAGAAGTCACTGACTCAAGAAAAACGCACGTAAGCTTGATCTGGTTTAAACCTGTATTCAACACAATTGTGTGCTTTAGTACTTTGTTCATTTGAACAGCAGGTCAGTTACAAAAAAAAAACGGATATAAAAACAAGATATTTATAGTTTCTATATTCTTAGGCAGAGTCTCAAGCAAAAATCATCATGGAATAATTTGTACACTGACCACATATACAGTTTTTTTCTGAGGATGGTAAAGAATAGCAACCTTCTTTAAAACCGAAACACACGACATTTATACATACACTAGAATAATATAATGGAATATTTATTGATAAAAAACATGAGTAAACTAGATTCAGCAACAGCTGTTGTTATCATTACGTTGAAAGCTCAGCCCATTTCTGCTCCAAAGTGAGGAAATGGGTATATTATTTGATATTCAAATATTAGAGAGAAATTCGTTTTTCAAAATCTTACATTTCTTGGGCCATCGATTCTGTTTATACATTTATTTTGAATAATACAAACTTCCTTAAGTATCTTTATAATTTAGATTCAGCTTTACTGTAAACATTTTTTTTTTACATTCTTCCAGAGCCTCGTCTCGCCCTCGAGTGGCTTTGTGCGAAATTCAACCAACCAACAAACATTCTTCCAGTCATACTCCAATAACAGTAGCAGAAATATTCAGCCTCAGCTGAATACAGAGTTTTAACATTCTTATATGATTTTGATATTCTTTACTTTTATTGGCCTGGCATGGCCTGATGGTAAGGGCACTCAACTTGCAATCTGCGTGTCACGAGAACGAAATCCGGCGCTGAACATTCTTGCCCTTTTGGGTATGTGGGCGTTATAAAGTGACGGTCTATCTTACTATAATATAGATTTTGCGAAAAAAACAACAACAATAAAATCCGCCTAATCTTATTTTAAATTTTATTTTCGTTTGACCAACATAAATCTTTCTTCAACATCAATTATATTTTATATATACCATCTTTTTTCATAATTTGTTTGTGGGTATTTTTAATGGTCTGAAATAACTTCCACTCTTATTCTGTGGAATAAAAGCTATATTATTCCAATGTTGTCTGGATGACATTAGTCGTTTTCATTACTACCAAGAAAAGTAAGGCATGATAATAAATTGCTTTTTAGATGACTCCTAGAGGATGGGCATTAATTCAGAGTACCTCATTTACAAATTTTTACTTGATTTTTTTAGAAGCTCTGCCAACAACAATACATTCAAAGCCTCTAATAACAGGCAGCGATTTTAGATAAAATATATCATTATTTAAATTATTCTTGTCAGAACAAATGTAGAGGGCTCGCCAAGCATGTGTATAACAAACACCAAACTTCTGATGTAATTAGATTCATGTTGACACCAAAATACTTTTGACATATACTACATTTAAACTAGGCCTCAATTCTAAACAAAACGCCTAAGAAAGGTATAATAAATTCATCAATATTTGTAGCAAACTTAATTATTTCGTTATTCTCATTCGTATCAGTAAATATTTCATCAATGTCGTCTCTTTCGGTTTTATAGACAAAACCACAACATATTTTAAAATATATCATAATAGCAGTCTTCTAAAAAGTACTTTATCATCAAATTCAAGTACTTTCGCAATACATAGAATATTCTCATATATGATTTATAACTTCCATCAAAGAAGATACACATCTGTACAATAAAATCCTGGAAATCGTCTATTACTGTCTGGTTGACTCTATATCAGCGCAAGTAAATTATATATCTAAATATGTATATATATTAATTTAGGTCAGGTTACTTAGTTTATGTTGATAAGATGAACTCAACCCCAGTTGAGTTAAATAACACCCAGTTTTCTAAACATATTTTGGCATAACGAATCTATCTAGAGTTACGGGTTCATCTTAGAATTGTTAGAATACAATGTTATAGTTTAAAAATAACAATGTATTTGAAATGTCAAATTTTTAATTAATTTTTTAAATGACGCTGTAATCAACAAAATTCGTACACTTAAAGAGAGCTTTAAAATGTGACTATTATAGAATGATATTTTATTTACAAAAGAAATAAATCAACTTTAAGTATTTTGATACAAGTAACAAAAGGCACTTCTAAAGCATTTATTAATGACGAGAAAATACAATGCTGAAGTAACACATCTTTCTGTACATTTGTTTGTTTATTGTTAAGCTCAAAGCTAAATCATGGGCCATCTATCCTGTGTCCTCCTCGGGTATAGAAGCCCAATTTCTAGCACGATAGGTTTTCTTAAATTTTCTTGGGAAAAACATCCAATTCTTGGATAAATAATTAAATCTGTTTGTTAGTTTGTTAAAAAAATTATATCAAAACGGAACTCATACACACACATAATTACAAATTCAACTAAAAAAGTTATAAAGAACTAACTCTAAACGCAGTACCTGCTAGCTTAAATATTCTACACATAGAAAAAGTCATGAAGCCCGTGTGATTTGTATTGGTTTTAAAGCAAGGCCACATTGAGCTGTCTACTGTGTTCACCGCAGACGGAACACCCGTGAGGTAGTCTGGTATGTTTTATAAACACATATATGGGGCCTGTTTATCATCTTCATCTTTTTAAACAGACAATTAATAGCATGAATAAATGGCATAAAGTCTTATAGAATTATACAATATCTATTTGTCTGTCTCTCTATCTGTTAGATGCCGCACTCAAAAATTAATATCGAATATTTTATTTGTTTTTTACAACATCATCATATAAAAACAAAACGTTTTAAAGAAATAAATAATTGGCACTACCTTTTATAGGCTTACTTGATGTGAAAAACTGCTGTTCTAATTAGATTGAAATATTAATTAGACTTACCGGAAGCTCTTCGCTGCATTGTAACTCACTAAATCCCTTCTCCTATGTTTTAAAACAGAAAAATAAAAAATGTAAGAAGCAATATATACGTATTGACTTGAACAATATTACTTCTATATAATCTTTTTATATTATAAATTGGTAATTTTAATACGAGAAATAATTTTGTTAAAATGTTTTCTCGCACTAATTTGCATCAGAAAGCCAAACTGCGGGAAATCTACAAATATTTAATATTGTTGTTTCTGGAATTCTAATATCAAATTATTGTATACGTCTTTTTTAACAATTATGAATATCAAAATGAGCTGCTGATCGATATGTTTATATTGCTAGATTAATGTGCAATTATTATTTTTTAATTATGAGCTTACTATTTTTCGTAGAACATGTTCGAATACAATATAAGATTAAGATACGCTTATTAATGTTTCAGTTTTTTTCTTATTAATTAACATTTCTATCTCAAATTAGTTACGCGTGGACATTATTCATATCATTATGACGATAAAAAACACAAAATTTAAGTATATTAGCTAGTAAAACTCTCTTTGTGCAGTATCTACACTCGTATACATTATGTTATATAGTAAGTACGCCTATTATACGCTGAAATGCTTTTCAAACAACGAAGTGTTTGTTGTGCACTACTGCAAAAGCTTCCAAAAATAAGTATTGTTAGTAATAGAAGAATGTAAATTTAAAAACAAATTAAATAAAAGAACTGTCGCTCAAACTGAAATATCGCTATTCCCCAGCAATTTGCGCATGTTCAAACTGAAATTGTCGGTACCTAAAATTTTATATCTAACAAACTTTTTTACACACATAATAGAAAATAAATCCATTACAATGCTATATATCTAAAGATATAAAACTGTTAAAACAGATATACAAGCGAGAAAATATGATCAACGTATCTGTCAATTGATTTGCATCGGGAATGATCACCTTCACACAATATGCTCTCTCACATTCAAACCAACGAGTACTCCCTGTTGATTGATTTAGCGTTGTTAGTGTGCTCAGACTATAATCCGAGGAATCAAGGTTCGCGTCTCGTTGCCGCAAAAACTGCGTTTCGGATTTTGGGCCGTGATCATCAAATCTTGCTATTCAGTTAGATGAAACCTCCTTCGAAAATACAAGTAATTAGAGGCATATCATAATTTATTTTTGAATTGTTATATGACACACTCTGAATTATTTTAGTAATCCCAATTTTTACGCCCTTGCTAATAGTTTTGTTTGTTTTTGAATACTTGTGCACAGAAACTCAAGGACTATCTGTGCAAGTCATCCTTAATGTTGAACTTATAGAGCAGAGGAAAAGCACCTAGTCAATAGCATCCACCGATAACTCTTGGTCTACTCTTGTCTGACGGAATAGACTGATTTCACCGTCTGTCTTTTAAAGCGTGGAACGAGATTTATTATTATTATTAGGCCACAATTGGAGCATTGTGTTAATATGGTCATACATTTAATCATTTTATGTACTAGCAATAATAATTATTAAAACTGGGGTTGATCTCTGTCACACTTAGTGCTATGTCAAAGTATGAGAAAATATCAGTTGTTTTTAGTAAACATAATACACTTATTTACGATTACATGTAACTATAAAGCTCATACTGGAGTTTCTGGAATGTTCTAGTGACGAGAGTTTTAATGAACTGATAGAAAACATTCTGATGCGATTCATGAATGATGGATGTTCTTAATGCGACTTTAATATTGGATTCTCTAGCTAAATGATCCTCTTAATGATGTGTTCTTACTTTATCCACAAGGCGTCTTGTACCAACGGCTTCAGAATACGGGTTCGTATCCACTTGATTATCGTTGCCAGTCGCTGTCCACTCAAGAACATCCCAGGTGTTACCCGAGCTAGCTGGGTGGGACGGTTCTCTCACCGATCTTCGCATCTGATAACGGAGTCCTTCAATATCTAGAATATACATTATTTCAGTAATTTAATGTTCAGTATATCTGGAATATTAAATTGCTCGTCTCAAAATACGCATTTAAAACATCGGTTAATCATGCTGTCTAAAAATTAAAAAAATGAGACAGTTTTAGATTTAATTTTGGGTACTTCCAAATGCAGTCTCTGAAATCTATACAAATTTGAAAGATTTATTAATTCAATTAACAAAACTAGAAATGTAGCCACAAAATTCGCAGGTTTTTAAAACAATTGTAGCGCCATCTATGTAGCTATTTCAAAACTATCATAGAACAATGAAAGAAGTATTTTTTTAATTTTCTTCAAATATTAATAAAACATGGAATTTAAAAGCCAGTTTTTTATTTTCTACCACCTTCGGTACTTGATATTCTAAACATATTTTAACAAATATTTCCAATTGTGATTCTTAACAGTGATTGTTATTGTGTATTTACTTTTTTGAGAAGCAGAGAAACCATGTGGTGTGCTAAACTAATCACATATTTTATGGAACAAAAATATTGTTAAAAAGAGAGTAGACTATAACTAATTTCCTATATCCTTTACAATTCATCTTGTCAAGTTTCCATGATCATGGGTATTAAGAGAGTAGAAAATTGTAAACTCAACCTTTGAAATAACAGGACACAGCCCAAGAAACAACTTTAAAACCATACGCGAAGATGCTCTTCTAGTCTCGGAACTATGTTGGTAAAAGTCATTTGTCAGAATAATGGGTTTATCTATTAAACGAAACTATCATATAAATAGGTAAGTGAGGAAGACCAAACTAGAAGTCTTCCAATTCAATGAGGTTAGAATTTATGTATTTCTACATCTCGATGATAAAAAGCAGTTATATGCGCCTTTTCACACAATCGCAGTTAAAAGTTCGTAGACAAACAACAAGAAAGTAAAGCCACTGGATTGAGTATTTTCCCATAAACCAAACACGTTCCAATCAATAGTTTATATCTGGAATATCACACTATCTTTCGTCGCTACGCGTTTGTATGTTATTTATACTTGACATTTATTTTCAAATTCTGGAGAAGAAGAAAAACGATAGACTGCTTTCACCGTAAAAATGGTATTAAACATTTCCAGTGTAAAAGACTGATATTAGAGTGACAAAAACGAAAACACAGAAAGTAAATATTTAAAAGTAGTTCCAGATTTCTTAATTTATCGAACCTACATTAACACTTTAATTCTTATTACAAACAATTTATTTGAAATTTAATACCTTTGAAAATAAAGCTGCACGAATACCAGTTATGGTTGCTGTTTATTGCAAACATTCAACACCAGGTTAAAAACCAGTTATAGTTGCTGTTTATTGTAAACATTCAACACCAGGTTATAGTTGCTGTTTATTGCAAACATTCAACACCAGGTTAAAAACAGTAAAAATCACTTGATGTTGGAGTATAATGTCAACACGGACAGGATTGTTTGGTTGGTTGGTTTTGAATTTCACACAAAACTAGCTACATGAGTACTATCTGCGCTAGCCGTCCCGAAGTTAGTCAACATCCCGAAAGGGAATGAAATATATTTTAACCATTATTCCCACAATTTCTGAATCGGATCGTAGGTTTTCTTTTCTCCACATTCATTTTAACTTGTCCGTTTCTGCCTGAACTTAGATGTATTTAATAAATAGTATTTCACATCTAAATCGTAATTTGTAAAGTATAAATATCCAGTGGGGGAAAAGACAGTTTTCTGGAAAGACATCAAAACAATAATATCTTCAACGTTTAGTGGCAAGGTGGATAGGTCTTCTCCCTGTAATTAAGCATGTCAAGCATGTAGAAAAAGTAACATTTAAGGTAGATGTGGTGGATAAAGAAGTAGTCGGAATAAATATGCTTAAGCCATGATACAATAATGTCGCGCCTGAAACTTGTGTGATGACCTGTTTAGAGACTAGCTGTATTTGTTTGTTTGTTTAAAGTTAAGCACAAAGCTACACAATAGACTATCTGTGCTTTGCCTACCACGGGTATCGAAACCCGGTTTCTAGCGTTGTAAGTCCGCAGATATGCCGTTGTGCCACTGGGGGGAAATAATAAGTAAAATTGTATATTTTACGTTTTTCATAAATACGATAATCATATCTGATAACATAGAAGATTGTGAAATTAGCAGTGCAACCGAATAAAGCTGTGAGAATTAAGGTGGACTCATATATGTCAATAATTATTCGAATGATCCAAAAAAGAAATGTGAGGATGAACAGTAAGGCCTCCCTTTGATTGAAATGTTTGAAAAATTTGCGATGTTATTGTTATTAGTGCTTTGGTATAATACAAAAATTATTATTTTTTTCTTCATAACTGATAACTGATGGACTCAAGCCAGCCGAAATGGGAGATGGGCAAAGGGAACAACTGTCCAGGGGCCCAGGTGGATGAAACCTGGTTATGCCGTAAAGCCCACAAACCACCTTCAGGCTATATCTTCATTTAATCATAAAAACCATAGTTTTTGGCTTTTCATTGCATGTAGACGCTTGATACATTAGGAATGATTGAAATAATAATTTGATCAATAATTAATATATATTTATTACTTTATAGATTTAATAAATATTTGTTGTTACTTTATTGACGTTTTTACGCTCGTATTGTGAGCTAAAAATGCCTTGTTTATGAGCTCGTTGCTGTCCTAATTTAGGATCTTATTATCAACAAGTTCTTAAAATTGTTAGAAAAACAAAGAGAAAGGGGGCCCAGCGAAAATGTTTTACCTGGAGCCCGTGCTGGCTCTTGACGCTTTTGGCTGGATTGTATCACATAAGCGTTATTTTAAAAGACTATCTATGTCTGATTGTTCAGAGGACTAAATAATAATAATAATGATAATTATAAAAGTTTTACATTGTCAAAGTGAATGTGTGTGTGTCTATAAAAGTTGTACATGGTCAAAGTGAATGTGTGTGTGTCTATAAAAGTTTTACATGGTCAAAGTGAATGTGTGTGTGTCTATAAAAGTTTTACATGGTCAAAGTGAATGTGTGTGTGTGTCTATAAAAGTTGTACATGGTCAAAGTGAATGTGTGTGTCTATAAAAGTTTTACATGGTAAAAGTGAATGTGCGTGTGTGTGTCTATAAAAATTGTACATGGTAAATAAAAGTGAATGTGTGTGTCTATAAAAGTTGTACATGGTAAAAGTGAACGTGTAACATTTGAAATAAAGCGTTTATATCGTATCCGTTGTTTCACTTCTTAAATGAAATTTCTCAATATAAACGCTTTATTTCAAATGTTATCGTATCCGTTGTTTCACTTCTTAAATGAAATTTCTCAATATAAACGCTTTATTTCAAATGTTATCGTATCCGTTGTTTCACTTCTTCTTAAATGAAATTTCTCAATATAAACGCTTTATTTCAAATGTTATTGTATCCGTTGTTTCACTTCTTCTTAAATGAAATTTCTCAATATAAACGCTTTATTTCAAATGTTATTGTATCCGTTGTTTCACTTCTTCTTAAATGAAATTTCTCAATATAAACGCTTTATTTCAAATGTTATTGTA